TAGGTGTAAAGACCTTCGGCCACGGGCTTGGTGAGTAGAGTTCTTTTAGGGATATCGGTGAGTGCGTATATTGATGTCCACTTCCTTCCGGGTGTTTAATAGGAATGAGGGAATCTACTCCCTACATAATCCCCCTACTTCCCTACAAACCCGCAGAAATGAAAGGTTTGGGGGACCATAAATTATCACCCCATCATGATTCAGCCCCTGAAGTCACGTGCAGATTGCGCTGCTGCCTCCACTGGCCCCATCCCTTCATTAGCCAATCTCCGTTATCAAGCAGATCAATTCGGAGGCCTAAAATCCTGGAAGACTACTTCGGGTCAATGAGGGGTACATTAAGACTGCCTTAGTCTATTTAGCGGGCTTGCTCAGGGATCAGAGCCCTAAACCCTAAACCCTAAAGGAACCTGCTAACTCTGCTAACCCTTAGACCCCACGTGGTCCAGGATTTTCTGAAGCGCTCAGCTCGCCTACTGGTGCTTTGGGACGAGACATACTTTGATCGCTTCTAGATCACACTGGGTAGGGTTTGGGGTGTGGGTTTTGGGTTTAGAGTTTAAGGTTTAGGGTCAGGAAGCAGTTTAGATTTTTGATGCGGGTGAAGATTCAAGAATATTGAGGGTCAAAACATTCCAGCGCCTCTGCTTGTAGCATGGGAGCCGTCATACAGGCTAATCGGCTGATCTTGCCTTCAGGATGATAGTGCAGCTGTTTTGCTGTCCCGTTCTTAATTTGAAAGGAGCGCAGCCTCCAACTAGTTCTGGCTTGCATTGGAGCATGTTGTTAATTTGTTGGCCCCATCAGGAGCTATCAGTGTTTCCGACCTTCGATGACTGCCTGATGGCCGAGCATAATCTAATATTATGATACCCAATATAGAGTAAGATTATATCCTCGTTTTCGATGTAGTATTTTAGATAAGGAATATAATCTGACTTGGCTCAACCACCAAAAAATGCAACTTGGCTGAGGTTTGTGGTGCAGCTTAGAGATCGCCACGTTTGCCAAGCATCGCAGTGATCCCCACGCAATACGGGTTTTGGATCGCTTCGTGGCGCCGTGGTTGCTGGGATGCTTGCTTTCTGAGTGGCCTCTGGGTTGCTTTTACTTAGGGGTTTAGGGGTTAGGG